GGTGTAATGGCTCATGCCTGTAATCCCAGCACTTTGGAAGGCAGAGGCAAGTGGATCACTTAAGGTCAGGAGTTCGAGACCAGCCTGGCCAACAAGGTGAAATTCCGTCTCTACCAAAAAAATATAAAAATTAGCCAAGTGTGGTGGCACATGTCTGTAGTCCCAGCTACTAGGGAGCCAGAGGTGGGAGAATTGCTTGAACCTGGGAGGTGTAGGCAGAGGTTGCAGTGAGCCAAGATCATGGCACTGCACGTGATAAGGGTGCATACTTTCACAGCTGTTATTCAACATAGTACTGGAAGTCCTAGCTAGAGCAATCAGACAAGAGAAATAAATAAAGGACATCCAAATTGGAATGTAAAGTGTCAAATTATCCTTCTTTGTGGATGATATAATCTTACATTCGAAAAAACCTAAAGACTCCACAAAAAACTATTAGAACTGATAAACAAATTCAGTAAAGTTGCAGATATAAAATCAACATACAAAAATCAGTAGCATGTCTATATGCCAACAGTGAACAATCTGAAAAAGAATTTTTAAAGTAATCCCATTTTCAATAGCCACACATAAAACTAAATACCTAGGAATTAACCAAACAAGTGAAAGATCTCTGTAATGAAAACCATGAAGCACTGATGAAAGCAATTGAAGAGGACCCCCCAAAATGGAAAGATATTCCATGTTCATGGATTGGAAAAATCAATATCATTCAAATGTCCATGTTACCAAAAGCAATCTATAGATTAAATGCAATCCCTATCAAAATACCAATGACATTTTTCACTGAAATAGAAAAAAAAAAAAAAAAAACCTAAAGTTTATATGGAACCACAAAATACCCAGAATGCCAAAGCTATTCCAAGATAAAGAATGAAACTGGAGGAATCACATTACCTGACTTCATATTATACTGCAGAGCTATAGTAAACAAAACAACTAGCATAAAAACAGACACACAGACCAATCGAATAGAATAGAGAACCCAGAAACAAATCCACACACCTACAGTGAACTCATTTTTGACAAAGGTCCCAGGAACATACACCGGGGAAAAGACATTCTTTTCAGTGAATGATGCTGGGAAAGCTGGATATCCATAGGCAGAAGAATGAAACTAGACCCATATCTCCTGCCATATACGAAAATCAAATCAAAATGGATTAAATACTTAAATCTAAGACCTGAACCTATGAAACTACTACAAGAAAATGTTGGGGAAAATCTCCAGGACATTGGTCTGGGCAAAAATTTCTTGAGCAATACCCCACAAGCAAAGACAACCAAAGCAAAAATGGACAAATGGGATCACGTCAAGTTAAAAAACTTCTGCACAGCAAAGGAAACAATCAACAAAGTGAAAAGACAACCCACAGATTGGAAGAAAATATTTGCAAACTACCCATCTGACAAGGGATTAATATCCAGAATATTTAGGAAGGTCAAACAATGCTGGAGAAAAAAAATCTAATAATCTGATCAAAAATAGGCAAAAGATGTGAATAGACGTTTCTCAGAAAAAGACATACAAATGGCAAACAGGCATATGAAAACATGCTCCACATCATTGATCATCAGAGAAACGCAAATCAAGACTACAATGAGATGTTATCTCACCCCAGTTAAAATGGCTTTTATACAAAAGACAGACAATAACAAATGCTGGTGAGGATGTGGAGAAAAGGGAACCCCTGTACACTGTTGGTGGGAATGTAAATTAGTACAATCACTATGGGGAACAGTTTGGAGGTTCCTCAAAAAACTAAAAATAGAGCTACCATATGGTTCAGCAATCCCACTGCTGGGTATATACCCCAAAGAAAGGAAATCAGTATATTGAAGAGGTATCTGCACTGTCACGTTTATTGTTGCACCGTTCACAGTAGCCAAGATTTGGAAGCAACCTAAGTGTCCATCAACAGATGAATGGATAAAGAAAATGTGGTGCATATACACGGCAGAGTACTATTCAGCCATAAAAAAGAATGAGATCCAGTCATTTGCAACAACATGGATGGAATTGGAGATCATTATGTTAAGTGAAATAAGCAAGGCACAGAAAAATAAACATCACATGTTCTCACTTATTTGTGAGATCCAAAAATAAAAAACAATTGAACTCATGGAGAGAGAAAGTAGAAAGATAATTACCAGAGGCTAGGAAGGATAGTGAGAGTAGGTAGGGATGGTTAATGGGTACAAAAAATAGTTTAAAAGAATGAATAAGACCTAGTATTTAATAGCACAACAGGGTGACTAGAGTCAATAATAATTTAATTGTACATTTAAAAATAACTGAAAGAGCATAATTAGACTGTTTGTAACACAAAGGATAAATGCTTGTGGGGATGGATACCCCATTCTCATGATATGATTATTATTCACTGCATGCCTGTATAAAAACATCTCCTGACCTTGTAAATACATATATGGGGTGACACCTATAATGTACCCACACAAATTAAAAAATAAAAATAAGGGGAAGGTAGGGCGGCCATCGTGATGGTCAAGCAGTGATGGGCTGGGGACAGGGTGACAGTTGGCAGTTGGAATGAGGGAACCGTGAGGAATCTGAGACGTTGGAAGACAGCCCTGACCAGAGAGGGTGGGATATGAGAGACAGAGGTCAGGTGGCATGAGGCAAGGGAAGAATTTCAGAGGCAGGAAGAAAGTACACATAATAGGTCCCTGAGCAAAAACAGAAATGGGAAGAGAATATGATCTGAAAGAGAGTTTCATCTGCCTTTACGATGCCCGAGGCAGAGAGTGGCACACGAGGACAGGGTCTTGTCTTCTGGTGGCTTATGGTCTAATACAGGACACAGCAAGCTCACAAGAAACTGCCTCGTAGGGCTGAGTGAGATTCGCTGACAGAGCTGCAGAATCACATTCCTCAAAGACAGACGAAGGAGCTTGACGTAAGTTTGGATTCTCTGGTCCTGAGATGAAGACGGGTGTCAGGAGGAGGTGGCCAGCAAGTCTGGGGAGTTTAGGGCAAACTCAGAAGGGCAAGGTGAGTCAGGCACCGAGATGTATGAAATAAACACATCAAGTTGTGTGAATAAATGATCAGGGAAAGAGAGAGTTGCTTGAGGAGGAAACAGAAGCCAAAAACCCTGGATCACTCAGACAACTGGAGACAGCATGGGGGCTTGAGCCAAACTGCTGGGATTTGTTCTGCGCCTTGTTGCTTGTGTGTTCCTGGGCCATTATTACCTTCCCTGTGTCTTAATACCTCCATCTGTTAAGTGGGTACTATTATAGTATCTATAGCAAAAGCTCTATAAATTGATAAAGTAAAATGAGGGGATGTTGCTTGGTTCATAGAAAGGGTTCCATCGATGTTAGCCGGCCTCAGTGCATTAAGAGGGATAAAAGAGAGGCTGTAAGTCACACTGAACTAGTGCCGCATCACTGAAATTCTGGTAGGGAGAGGACTTTAAGAAGCAGAATGGGGTCAGGATGACCATGGGGAACACATAGTGTGCACATGAATGCTTTATTTCATTAATTCTATGCAACTCTGTGCGAGGAACTACTATCTGCCCAGGTTTACAGATGGGGAAACCGAGGCTCATAAACAGAAAGTGACTGGCACCAGGTGGCTTAGCCAGACACATGCACAGCTGGAATTTGAATCTACAACTGTACAGTCCTACAACCCATGTACCCACGCTGCCCTTTAGGAGCCACCCAGCAGCATGAGGGGAAGGAACAGGCTGGCCCTGGCAGTGTGGGGCTGCAGCCAGGTGTGCAGATCAAGTAGGCAGAGAAGAAACGATGTGGCAGATGTAGGTCACTCATCTTGAGACGTCTGGTCAAGAATGAACTGAGGGGCCGGGCATGGTGGCTCAAGCCTGTAATCCCAGCACTTTGGGAGGCCGAGGCAGGCGGATTATCTGAGGTCAGGAGTTCAAGACCAGCCTGACCAACATGGAGAAAACCCATCTCTACTAAATATACAAAATTAGCCAGACGTGGTGGCACATGCCTGTAATCCCAGCTACTCAGGAGGCTGAAGCAGGAGAATCACTTGAACTCGGGAGGCGGAGGTTGCAGTGAGCCAAGATCATGCCATTGCACTCCAGCCTGGGCAACAAGAGTGAGACTCCATCTCAAAAAAAAAAAAAAGAAAAAAGAAAAGGAATAAGGCAACAACTTGGGGGCATGAATGGGTCACCTAGCAGTTTTTTTCAGAGGGGCATGCAGGACATGTTTTCAAGCAGGGCAGAAATGGAGAAGAAGAGGCTGGGGGTATAACCGATGGAAAAAGGGCCTTGGGGGAGTGAGAAGTGCTGAAATTGGGTCACATTCGAAGGCAATTTGTTTTGGACAACAGGAAGAGAATGGCTACAATGGGAAGGAGTTTATTACTGTGTGAAAGGAAGTAAAGGGTGGCCACATGCCCCTGCTCACTCTGTGGGAAGAAAAGCTGAACTCCACCTTGGCACACGTGTCTGGTGAGCTGGGAGGGCACACTCGATCGGAAACCAGAACATTTGCGCGAGGGCTGGGGGTGTCTTAGAGAAAGCAAGTTGGGTCCCTGCTGAGGATCACACCAGCCTGAGCTCCAACCATCCACACACCCACCCAGGCACTCCATAAATTGTTAGGACTAACCAGAGAGTCAAAATTACGCAAAGCAAGAGATGCTGTCTTCGCTGATGCGGCTCACAGGCTGTGGGAGAGACTGGCATGTGCAGTTACTGCGGGAAGACGCTGTAACTGGTGATGTGAATGAGGCCGTGGAAGCCCTGAGGAGGAGTCCCAGTGCAAAAGTGACATCTAAGCTCAGGGCTGCAGGAAGGGCCAGAGGGAGGAGCAGAGGCAAGAGTGTTAGGCAGGGCAAGTGGCTTCTGCAAGCGACTGGAGGAGCAGGGCACAATACCTTCCAGGAGCTGAATGGTGTTCACAGCCCCTGGAGCACAGGCCGCGGTGCGGACAGGTGGCAACTTGCACTTCATCCTTATGTGGCTGAAGGGCCATCGATGTCTTTTGAGCAGGGAGAGGCCTGAGGGGATTTGGAGAGCTGCCTGTTTCCTCTGCCCTGCAGGATGGGATTGACAGTGCCCCTGGCTGAGGAAGGAGGGCACAAGGACGCTGTGGCCGTCAGGCCAGGTGAGAGGGGACCTCGGCAGCAATCACAGAGTGGGATGGCAGGCTCACAAAATAATCCAGAGAAGGGCTTGGGGGTCTTGGCAATGGTGAGGACGAAGGTGTACACCAGTGAGAGGGTCACACTGGGGAAGGTATGATGGGGTGCTTTTATGTGAGGAAAGGGGAGAAACCTGGTTTTGAAACCGGATTTTGATGTGCGTGTGAGATGTCTGTGCGGTCACATCCAGCAGGCAGCCAGCCTGTGGGATGGTGGTTTGGAAGAGATGTGGGAAGGAGTCAATGACTTGGGAGGTGTCAGCACAAAATCGAAGTCTCAACTCTAGGTGCTGTGTGGGTGAGTCTGTCTCATCACCCCAGGAATGGGAAGACTGCTCTGCTGGGTGAAATGAAAAGGGCAAGGTTTGGTTTTGATTTTTTTTTTTTTTTTTTTGAGACGGAGTCTCGCTCTGTCGCCGGGGCTGGAGCGCAGTGGCCGGATCTCAGCTCACTGCAAGCTCCGCCTCCCGGGTTTACGCCATTCTCCTGCCTCAGCCTCCTGTGTAGCTGGGACTACAGGCGCCCGCCACCTCGCCCGGCTAGTTTTTTGTATTTTTTTAGTAGAGACGGGGTTTCACCGTGTTCGCCAGGATGGTCTCGATCTCCTGACCTCGTGATCCGCCCGTCTCAGCCTCCCAAAGTGCTGGGATTACAGGCTTGAGCCACCGCGCCCGGCCTGGTTTTGATTTTTAAGGTGGGCAAGAGTTGAGCTGATTACTTGAGCTTGAGACACTGATGGAATTGTCTGGAGCTTATTGAGACACTGTGGGAAGGCATCCACAGAAAGGGGTGCAACCCCGAAAGAGGGAGGGGATAGGTAGTGGACACACATCTCTGAGAAGTCTGGATTCACATGCAAGGATCCACCTTGGGCAGGGGAAGGGGGAAAGGAGCAGGGGTGGAGGTCTGAGGCAATAAATAGCTGCTGTACAGGTGAGAAGAGCTGGGGCGGACCTTGGAGAGAGCACCAGGAGATGCAGGGGGTGGGCTTGGAGCCTGTCACTCTACAGGGGAAGAAGAGGGTCATTTTTGATGGTTTTTGTCCACAGGACTCTGCACTTTAGGTGCAGGAGAGGAGGTGACAGGAAGCTGAGGCTTGGCTGACCACATGCAAAGGCATGACTTCCGCCCTGCAATTCAGAGGCATCCATGGACAGAGAAGTGGACCTGGAGGACGGTGGGGCAGCTCTGCAGGCGTCTCTGCGCAGAGCCTCAGGGGTTTGGGCAGACCTTTCTGAACCTGTTGATGGAAGTCTGAGGAGGAGCCTGGGCGGAACTCTACCCCCCTTCATCCTGGGGGCCACAAGGCCAGGCTCTGATGGCTGGCCTTTTGACTAGAAGAGCAGAAAAGTACCTGGGAGGTCCATTGCAGCAGCAGCCAAGATAAGTAAGAGCAGATGTGTTCGTGAGAACATCTGAGATGCCCATGAGGGCCTCCCCGGTGGCTCCAGGTAACTTTGCAGGAGGAGGAGCCAGGGAAAGTGGAGGGACCACAGGAGCTCAGACCCCAGCTCAGTGCTACCCGGGGATGCTCCGGTCAACATTCGTGCACATGAACTGCCTGTAATGCCACACTCACTCCCAAGCCAGACCCACCGTTTCCAGAGCACCTTATAGACTGGAAGCACTTGCCCCCAAACTTCATCCTTCATGCTCATAACGACCCCATGGAAGGGGGTGCTTTGATGCCTTGTAAATGAGGAAAGAGAGTTGGAGAACTTAGGGAATTTTTCTAACATCACACAACTCAGGTCAGGAATCCAACCTGAATTTATTCTCACATCTTTTCATATTGCATGCTATTTAAGTTCCATGGCCCTTTGTTATAATCAATCTTTACTGTACACCCACAGCTCCCTTCTTCGGGCTTACTCAGTAAATGGCAAGCCCAGCCAAGATCAACTGTTTGCCTACTACTCCCACCTTCAGAAACATGGCTGGCCATGGCTGGAAAACGAAAGCAAACCTCCATTGCGATGGTCAAATTCATGGCCTTTAACCTCAAGTCAGTCCAGTGAGGCTCTGGTGCTGTCTGGCCCATTCACTCTCCCACTACTGCGGATAACTATTTCATACCTTCTCCTCTGCTTCACACTCCTGGAAGGATCCAGGACCCCAGCGTGCAGCAAGGTTATGGTGGGAAAGCCCCGTTTCTGACCATCAGAGATGGTGCCTGAGGTCTGGGTATTGGTACCAGCCACCCCTCCGCCCAGTTCCCAGGGATCAGCTAAATATGCAAATTCCCTAGGTTTTGGCAATGAATGACTCCCCTGATACTAACTCACATATTTAACGTGCTCTTTGGGAGGGATGGCATTTTGAGGAAGGGTTCATTAGCGCCGTGTTCTTCTGAGTGGGCAGGGTTAGGCGACCCACAATGCCTGTGCTCTATGTTGCTCTTCCCTGTCCTGTCTCTCTGTCTGCATCAGAAAGAAGATATGCAACTAACACAAGGCTAGGAACGTGTCACCTGGCTGCTTCTCACCTGGGAGGGGTGAGGGGACTTTGGGTGAAACTTGGGGAGATTCACTGCAGCTCCCACTTCTCCTGGGACGCACCAGGCCAGCAGCACCGCCGTCTGTTTTACCCGGGTTCCATGCACTACCTCTACACAATGAGCACCAAGCAGAGATGTCACATGAGTGAAAGAGTGATGTCAGTTGAGCAAGATAACTCCTTTAAACCTCACTGCTCCTGCCACCCTGTCGAGGGCCACAGAGCAGAGAGGTCAATGGGGCTCCAGTCTCTCCCTACCTCATGACCGTGGTCCTGTGGTTTGCAGGCTTCTTTGTGAACCAGTAATTATTTAGGGAGCTTAAAAATGTTAGAAAAATTTTATTTAAAAGCATTAGATTTTTAGTAACATTCTAGCTCCATAACTATCTAAGTGGCTCCTGGAAACAAGCAGACATTTCTTTCTTAGGCTCTAAGTTGAGGTGACCTTCCTTAGTGGTGAATACCGTTTGTTAAAACCAGAAATCTCGGAGTTGACTCTGGCAGGTTGAGTGTCCATGCAGGCACCAGGGAAGGCAGATGGTACATATCTGAGTCCAGGTAAGACCCAAGTAAGAGTCCCTTAAGGGTGAGACACAACAGGAATCAAAGCTGAAGAAGTGACAGATGTCTATGAAGTCCCCTTGGTGGAAGGGTTGGTCCCAGTGGATGAGGCTGGAGTTGGCATCCTTCTCACAGGGAGACCAGGCTGGGTATTCTGCCTGAGTCAGCCTGTCGGATGCTCTGGCTACACATACACTCCATAGCCCTGGGAAAACCCAAGTACACAGGCTGAGCCACAGGAAGATTCTAGTCCAGGAGCTGCTGGACCAGGGTGGGGGACAGAGGCAGGGAGAGGCAGACATTCAGGGCATAGAAGAACTACGTCCTGAGTGCTTCTAAGAGCTAGGAAGCAGTGCTCGCATCAAAGCTGACTTCTCTGCACAGCCACTGTTGAAGACCCAGAGGAGCAGAGCAAGAACCACGTCTAAGCACCAAGACTTCTCTCTGGTCTCAGGCCCCAGGCAGTGTGACCTTCTGTCCTGTCTCCGTGCCTGTCAGGCCAATTCCCTCCTCTTAGTTCTGGTCATGAGGGGCCCTTGCACTTCCAACCCTCCCCACCCATCACCCTTATCATTCCACTTATGGAAATCTCTCTCATGAACTTCCCAAGCCCCCACCTGCTTGCTAGGACCCCCCAATATCAGGCTGCTTTCTGGGAGCCGATTGCTTTCTCAGAGCCCTGGTGCTCTGCGAGTTGCAGACCTGGGAAGTGAAGCAGAAGCTTCACAGGATACCCTGAGCACTGTGCAGGGACAGAGGCTGCAGCCCCACCTTGTGGACTTCTGGCTTGGCCCAGCCCTACACAGTCTCAGGTCATGTAGCCTGGAGTTTCTGTAACAATGGTACCGAGTCTAAGGTTCTAAGCAGACACTGCTGCCCCTTCATGCTGCTCAAATAAACGGGGAAAAGGATGTGAATCAAGAGTTTCAAGGTGAATGGGGCGTGTCAGGGAGTGGGAAGGTGTGGGTGGCAGACCTAGGGACCATTTTTCCTCTCCACTCTCTGAAATGACTTTCACACCTTTTTATCTCTTCTCATACCTCCAACAGCCCTGCCTCTCCTTACTCTCAGCTGCTACACTGCTTCCTGTTTAACTGAGAAAACATGTAAACTACCCCAGATTTTATTAATAGCCATTCTTCCTCTAAAGCGCTGGACCCCACCCTACTTCCCACTCAAGGACATCCCCCCTGTAATTGACCTCTATCCACCTGCATCATTAGTTTTTCCCTCTCTATGGGATCATTTTTGAGCAAATCATGCTGGGATGGTGAACTTTTAAAAATCAGCTCGACCGAGCTATAATTTGTATATAAAATGCACTCATTTAAGATGTGAAGTTAGATGAGTTTGACGAATGTATACACCTGTGTAGTCACCACCACAGCCATCACATTGTATAAATTCCCATCACCCTCAAAAGGTTTCCCATGGCTGAGTGGCATTCCCTTGTGTGGCTACAGCACAGTTTGTTTATTCATTTGCCTATTGGTGTGCAATTGTGTGGTTTCTACTTTTTGGCTATTATGAATAAAAAGTGCAGTGAACATTGATCGATGAGTCTTTGTGTGGACATATGTTACCATTTCTCTTGAGTAAATACAGGTGGAATAAGTGAGCTATGTGATATGTTTAATTTTATGAGAAACTTCCAAACTGTTCTTCACTTTACATTTCGAAAGCAGTCTCTGAGAATTCCAGATACCACCACCCTTGGTATTATCAGGTTTTTCCCCCTAACATTAGTCATTCGATTTTGTGCTTGTGTGTGGAGGAATGTTAATTTTGGTTTTAATTTGCATTTCTCTGGTGACTGATGTTGAACCTCTTGTGTTTATTGGCTATCCATATATCTTGTTTTGTGAAGTATATGCATATCTTTTGCTTACTGTATTATAGTTTTCTACATATCACCACACATTTCTCAGCCTAAACCAAAAACTAAAGCGCACTTCTTGTCTCTCAGTTTCCATGGCCTTCTGCTCCAAGTTTCACAAGTCTGCAATCAAGGTGTCAGCCTGGGCTACGGTGTGATCTGAGACTCAGGTCTTCTTCCAAACACATGTGCTTGTTGGCAGAATTCATGTCTCTGCAGCTATAGAACTCATGGTGGCTTGTTTCCAGGCCAACAGGGGAGCTTCTCTTCTGCTTCAAGAGTTTAAAATTCTTCTTACCATGCCCATTTTTGTATTGGGTGGTTTGTCTCCTTACTGAGTTGGATGAGTACTTTATAAATTCTAGGTACAAGCCCTATGCAGCTGTATGTATTGCAAATATTTTCTCCCAGGCTATAACTTGCCATTTCATTTCATTTATTTATTTATATTTATTTTTTATTTTTTATTTTTTTTGAGACGGAGTCTCGCTCTGTCGCCCAGGCTGGAGCGCAGTGGCTGGATCTCAGCTCACTGCAAGCTCCGCCTCCCGGGTTTATGCCATTCTCCTGCCTCAGCCTCCAGAGTAGCTGGGATTACAGGCGCCCGCCACCTCGGCTGGCTAGTTTTTTGTATTTTTAGTGGAGACGGGGTTTCACCGTGTTAGCCAGGATGGTCTCGATCTCCTGACCTCGTGATCTGCCTGTCTCGGCCTCCCAAAGTGCTGGGATTACAGGCTTGAGCCACCGCGCCCGGCAATTTCATTTTCTTAATGGAGTGTTGGCAGAAGAGAAATGTTTGATTTAAATGAAGTCTAACTTCTCAACTATTTTTTTGTATGGTTCATGCTTCTTATTCCTACACAAGAAACATTTGCCTATCCAAAGGCTACAATATTTTCTCCTATATTTTCTCCTAGACGTTTGATAACCTTAGCTCTTATATTTAGTTCTCTGACCCATTTTACGTCAACTTTTGTGTATGATGTGAGATAAGAGCTGAGATTCAATTATCCCCCCAAATTGATATCCCATTTTACCACACCATCTGTTGAAAATACCATTTCCCCTGTTGAATTACTTTGGCACCTTAATTGAAAAAAATAAATTGACCACACATAAATGGCTCTAATTCTAGATGCTCTATTGTTGTATTGGTTTATATTTCTCTACTTATATCTACAGTAATTATGTGATTGTTACATATTTATATTAAGTCTTAAAATTGAATAAATTCTATCCTTCAGCATTTTGTTATTTTTCAAAATTGTTTAGGCTATTCTATGGCACAAAGGTCATATTTTTATGTAAATTTCAGCTTGCCAACTTCTAAAAAAAGTAAGCGTGCTGGGTTTGCACTGAATACATAACGCAATTTGGGAAGAAATGCCATTTAGTGATATTGAATCTTCTGATCCATAAATCTAGTATATATCTCCATTTTCCTCCAACATTGTGTTGTAGTTTTTGGTGTCCATGTTTGCACATATTTCATTAAAATTTCACTGAATATATATCATAGTTTTGGATGCTGTTATAAATGGCATTTAAAAATTTCATTTTCAGGCCAGGCATGGTGGCTTACGCCTGTAATCCCAGCACTTTGAGAGGCAGAGACAGGCGGATCACTTGAGGTCAGGAGTTCAAGACCAGCCTGGCCAACATAATGAAACCTTGTCTCCACAAAAATACAAAAATTAGAAGGGCATGATGGTGGGCACCTGTAATCCCAGCTACTTGGGAGGCTGAGGCAGGAGAATTGCTTGAACCCGGGAGGTGGAGGTTGCATGTGAGCTGAGATGGTGCCATTATACTCCAGCCTGGGTGACAAAGCGAGATTCCATCTCAAAAAAATTTTTTTTTCATTTTCAATTATTCATTGCTAGTATATAAAAGTATAATCAGTTTTTGTATAGTGATCTTGTATTTTGTGACTTAGCTAAATTTACTTAATAGTCCAGGAGATTTTTAAAAATATTCTTTATGATTTTCTATAAACATGATCATGTCATCAGCAAATAAAATTTGGTTCCTTCTTTTCCTATCTATATGCCGTTTTGCACTTGCTGAGACTTCCAACACAATGTTAAATAAAACTAGTGAGACCAGACACCCTCCCCTTGTTTCCATTACGAAAGAGAAGGTACTCAGTTATACAGTATTCAGAAAGTACTCAGTATTCAGTGTATGTATATATGTATATTTAGTGTGTATATATATGTATCCAGTGGATTTTATATATATAATATATAGTATATCTAAATATAGTATATCATACTATTAAGTATGATGCTGTAGGTTTTTCATACATGCTCCTGATAAGGAAAAGGCTGAGAAAATTCCCTTAAATTCCAAGTCTGCTGAGATTTTTTTTTTTATCATTAATGCATATTAAATTTTGTCAAATATTTTTCTGTATATATTTAGATTATTATATGGTTTTTCTTTTTTAAAAAAGCATAATGAATTACATTGATTGATTTTTGAATATTAAGCCAACCTTGGATTCCTGGAATTAATTCTAGTTGACCATGACATATTTGTGTGTGTGTGTAATATATATATACACATATATATAGTGTGTGTGTGTATATGTATATTTAGTGTGTGTATGTATACACAGTACATTTTATATACATATCTAAATAATATATACATGTTTTATATATATAAATACACATACATATATACATATAAAGTCTTCAATTTGCATTGTTCCAATATGTACACATTTCAGTCACCATGGGTTAAATAAATAACACCAAGCTTACCCAAAAATACAGTTCAAATCTCAAATCTCAGTTATCAAGGGATATTAACTGTAAGTAGTTGCATAAAGTGCAAACTTCACTGCTGGCTCCTCAGTCCAAAAGTCACTATATCAGTGACAGATGTGCATCATGATCAGTGACCAATCATGCCACTTCTTTCAAAGCCTCTCTGATTTCTTACTGCACATCTCTCACTCAGTTCACACACAGATAGCAAAATATGTTGTTGTGTTGCCTCCCCGTCTCCCAGTGATAAACTCATGTGGCATTCTATAAACAGGTAATCAAAATGAAAAGTGAGAAGGGTGGAGGTGAAATCTGAGTCAAACCTAAACACAGTTAAAGATTAAATAGTTGACCATGGGAATGCTGATGCTGCTGTCGTTTGAAACTACATCTGCAGCCAGAGGAACTTAGCGAAGGCAAACTTACTAACATAAAGGTATAAGCAGTTATGACAAAAAAGATGATGTCTCAGGGAAGTGTCTGTACTTAACTTTCCCTACTTTCTCATTTCCTGTGCACTATTTTTTTCATTTGTTTTACTGTGATATATATAATACATACGTATACCAACGTAACAACGTAATGTGCTCAGTTCAGAAAATTATAAAGTGAACATCCTCCTCCCTCCTGCCCCGCAGATGTACCCATCACTCTAGAAGTTGTGTGAAATGTTTCCATGCTTTTTTTTAACATTGTTTTACTACACAGGAATTCATTCCTAAAAAATTTTTATCTTTTTCTCTTGCCTCACTTTTACTTTATGCAACTATCATTTTTCATGTCTATATTATATTTTTGAAATTGTGTCTACATTGATTTATAGAACTGTGGTTCCTTCATTTCCCCTGCAGTACTGCATTGTTTTATGACTGTATTATACACAGCATGGATTAATCCTAGTCATGATGTAGAGCAACAGGATCTTATGAATGTAAGATGTAGAGCATGATGTAGAGCAACAGGATCTTATCACAAGAAATGACATACTGTGTGGTTCCATTTATATGCTCAAGGATATGCAAAACGAATCTGTGGGAATAGAGGTCAGATCAGTGGTTCTCTTGGGTGTGGGGGGACGTGTAATGGAATGGGAAGGGGCACCTTTGAAAGTGTTGGAAATGTTCTAAATCTTGAACTGGATGGTGATAGCCCAAACATAATTATATTGAAGATCTGCAAATAATCACATTTACATGTTTAACAAAAAAAGCTTAAAAAATAAATACATGAAAATGTCGAGTTTATAAACAAGTATTAATATAAGCAAATATAAACAATTATTTATAAATTATTTCTGGAGTTTATAAACCAACACCTATGGCAACTTAGAGATATTTTCAATACATGAATGCTGAGCTCTGAATTTTTCCCAGTTGTTGCCATTCCACTAGGCATGTTTTACGAAAAAAGTGAAGTGACACTGTATATAGGGGTTTATAAGATTAGCTACTTAATATTTTTTAAAGATAGGCTTTCATGAGTTCAGCTGTGTTTTTCACTGAGAAATCTAGACATGCATGAACATAGGAGAAAGTGGCTTGCCAGGCAGGGCAGGATGGGGGCTGTGTTTAAACCTGCATGCCCATGTTGCCTGATCAAAATCCTTCACAGATGATTTCTTCTTGAGAATCTGGTCTTTCTCATGGCGGCCACCTTAGTCCTAGGGGAAAAGGATAGGATTTTTTGTCTTTCTATCTCATGAATTCTTTGGTTTCACATCAAATTATTCTTACTGCTGAAATCCTACACCTGTTAAAACCTTATAGGTGAGGTGATAAAAAGTAAGAAATAAGATCTGAGCTGGAATTCTGGCCTGGTCTTTTACTGGCACTTAGAACCAGGCCTGGCAAACGGCGAATATATGAGAAGGAATAGCTACTCATATTATCATTATTGCTTTTATTATTGCACCTGTTCTTGATGATTTTATAGTTTTTTGGCTCTAAGAACACTGTAAAGTGTTTAGAAGCCCAATAAAAAGCATTGATAAATACAATACAAAACATCCAAAAACCTTGCCCTGTATTGGAGTAACTCTCTCATGCCTAATGGTTCTGGGACTCCAGCTCCTCTTCTGTACATGCTCCAAAAGAGCAAACAGCATGTCCGCTCAGAGCTTCCTTAGGGGAAAGGGACACCTTTCTCTGCTGGATTGGCTGGGCAGGTAGATGGGATCATCCCTGCCAGCCATTTCCTCTTTAATTCAGAAGGCTCCGGTGAACCACAAAAGACAGAGTGGACGTGATGCTTTGTAAAGTGTGTATTGCCTTGCAGACAGAGGCTAGCATCCATTTAGCTACTCTCATTTCTCCCCATCCCAACCATATAAAGACGCTGGGATCTGCCAGGATGTTTAGGAACAAATTATTACCCTTCCATTCTTAGGGAGGCCCCAGTGAAAAAGGCCTCTTCCAGAAATGCCCAGCATCAGGAACAAGCACTCTTCCAAAAACACTCAGTACTGGGGAACAAGGCCTCTTCCAGGAACACCCAGCATTGGGAACACGGTGCGCCTGTGTGTGGCCGGGTGCCATGGAAGAAGGACAAAGGCAACCCTCTCCAGTGCCATGTGGTATTAAATGCAGAAGAGGCTTTACTGGAGAGAATCCTACAAGAGGAGAAGTGCAGTGTCCATGAACCTCAGATCCATCCTCCCACAGAGAGGCAGGCAGAGCAGGGCGGCGATGGGCTGGACGTGTCACAGACAACTCCGTGGAATCGCAAAGCACTCAAGACGTACAGGGTGGGGGGCGGGCTAACGCAGTGCTTCTAGAGCTTTCTCAGGTCGGGGTTTTTGGGACTCCCAAAGAATGTCCTGCCTGGAGAAAGAGGAGAAGAGAGAGAGGGATGTCTCGATGTCTCTTCACTCTGAACACCACTATCCCGTGGGGTCGTGATGTTCCCCTAAACTGTCAGACCTAGAAGCGCCCCCAATATGGAGTCCCTGCTGCTCACCAAACTTCCATTCCCAATCTTTTCTCCGGTCCTGTCCTCCTCAACAGTCCACTGTTAAGGGCAATCTTCTACTTCAGTATTGCATTCTACTCCACAAATACCTCTGAACACCTTCCAAAAGTCACCTCTTTTCTGTGTTGGGAGGATCTGGAAAGCATGATCCTAAAGTAGCCCCGGGTGCTGCCCCCAGGGGTGTCTTTCTAAGGTCTAGCTTACTCCCAAGTGCCCCTCCTAGGCTCAGATACCTCCCGTGCTTCATGCATCCAGGTCGAGATCTAGAACATTCCATAAAGGGTCTTGGTTCCTCTGTCTGGGAGTCAAGGTACATACCCAGGTGTTGTGCCCTCTTCTGTCTCCACAGTGTTAACTCCCTGTGCTCTCTGGCCCTCATCTTCCCCCACTCACACCCGTGGCCCCATGAACACCCATTACTTATCCTGATCCTCTGGTTTGAAATACGGCCCCCACCGTTCATGGGTCATTGAAATCCAACCAATCTCCTCCTCCTGCCTCATCTCCAGGAAGCCCTCCTTGACTGGACTGTGGCTGTCCTCACTACCTCACTGTCCCCATCCTCCGGTTTCCAGGCATTGAACCTCGTGCACACGTGGTTGGGAGGTTCTCCAGTTGATTCCTGCAGGCCAGTTCTGAATTCTCCTGTCAGCCAGGAGCAACTTGAGCCAGGAGGGACTGCACCGTTCTGCGCTTGGAGGGGAGGGAAGTGGTCCCTGATATCCTCTGATGCCCAGGCCCAGCCGAAATATGGAAAACCAAGTGCTACGGGCGAAGGAAACTGGGCCGATTGTCAGGGTCCTGGGTTCTGCTGCCGTCTTCCAAGCACCCCTAAGCCTACTGTTTCTATCTCTGGGCCTCAGTTCCTGAAGCTGCAAAATGGAAACAGATGGGCTGGGCTGGGTGATTCCTAAAAGCCTTTACAGTTTTCACAGATGAGTCTTCTCCGAGTGGTTTTCAACATTGTGTATCAGGCTCACCTGAGGAACTTTTAAATAATGGCGATGTCCACGCCCCGCTCTCGAGGACAGAAGATGGCAATTGAAGTGAGCCCACCACCTGCAATTTTCTAAAAGCTCATCAGGTGACTCCAACGTGCAGACTCAGCTTGTATGGAGAGGAGGGCCGCTGACTAGGACCTGTTTGTTTTCAGACAAAGCGATGGATTCATGCTGCCCCCTGGTGGTCAGACTGCTCACTTCAGGCAGTTCCACATCTTAGGATCTTGCGGCGGGGCAGGAAAAATGTACCCAATGAATAAGGATGAAAAGAAAAAGAAAGGAAGGGAAGAACACTACCTGGCTTCTCCATGACCCAAGGATTCACAGACTCGTGAGTATTCCCTTCCCCACTGTTCCCTATAATAAAGTTTATATTATTTATCATAAATCAAGAGACTGAGTCCTGGGGGCAGTCATATCTGCCTTTGAAACCAACCCACCGCGGCCGGGCGCAGTGGCTCAAGCCTGTAATCCCAGCACTTTGGGAGGCCGAGACGGGAGGATCACGAGGTCAGGAGATTGAGACCATCCTGGCTAACACGGTGAAACCCGGTCTCTACTAAAAAAATACAAAAAAATAGGCGGGCGCCGGGAGGCGGAGCTTGCAGTGAGCTGAGATCCGGCCACTGCACTCCAGCCCAACCCACTAGTCCCATCAACAGTTTTGGGTGTTTTTTGTTTTTTGTTTTGGATAAACATAGAAATTGACCCTTATGACCTTAAAGCTTGAAACTTACATTTGTTTTTATCAGAGTTTCAGAGTTTCTTCCTCCAGGAAAGGACCACCAGGTCTCTCAAAAAAAAAAAAAAGCATCAAAGATCTGAAACTCACCAGATCATTGCATCCACACAATGAAACTCCAGGCCCCTCATTCATCGTGATTGCTTCCTGACCCTTTCTGAGTTCCTGTTTTCTCATACACTTACATTTCTTCCCTGCTGTATAAACTCCTAACTTTAGCTGGTCAGGGAGATGAGTTTGAGACTACTCTCCCAGGGAGATGATTTGAGACTGACCTCCCATCTCCTCTGCTGCAGCACCCAATTAAAGCCTTCTTTTTTGGCAATAATTGTTGGGTCAGTGATTGGCTTTCTGTGCTGTGAGCAGCAGGACCTAGACCAAACCCCTGGTGTTTCAGTAACACATTAGGCGTGAAAAAGCTCCCTCTGGATCCACAGGCTGGGTGTAAGGGGAATTCAGAAGGTGACAGGCTTGGGGGAGCTTCTGAGACAGCAAAGCCAAGCAGGACACTTGAGATAGTGAGATGTTAAGTATCTGGAAAAATGAGTGCCCAGTGCTAGGTTTATCCCTATTCACGAGTCACCATGACATTGGGTAAGCTCATTTCGCTGAGCCTCAGTGAGTGCTGCTCACTATTCTGAACACCAAATGTGTTCCTGGACAAAGTCTGTCAAGGGCCGCAGAGATTTAACTGATTCCACACTCGCCAAACTCCCACCCATTCCACATGGAGTAGAGCTTCCAAAACCTGGTTGGAAGTCTGCAAAAACTGGGGAGCTCATTTTTTAAACATAATATAAGAGAATGTGTTCAAAGTATCATTTTATCATCACAATACAATCTATGTAATATGTTACTTACAAGAAAAATGAATTTAAAAAAGCAGTTATGTCTCAAAGGCTACAGTTTCAGTACAAGATTCGGTTCCATAGTGTAGTGGTTATCACATCTGCTTTACACGCAGAAGGTCCTGGGTTCGAGCCCCAGTGGAACCATGGTTGCAAGTGGTTCTTTTGGCCGGGCGCAGTGGTTCAAGCCTGTAATCCCAGCACTTTGGGAGGCCGAGACGGGCGGATCACGAGGTCAGGAGATCGAGACCATCCTGGCTAACCCCGTGAAACCCCATCTCTACTAAAAAACCAAAAAAATCCGGGCGTAGTGGCGGGCGCCTGTAGTCCCATCTACTCAAGAGGCTGAGGCAGGAGAATGGCGTGAACCCAGGAGGCGGAGCTTGCAGTGAGCCGAGATCCGGCCACTGCACTCCAGCCTGGGCGACAGGGCGAGTCTCCGTCTCAAAAAAAAAAAAAAAGGTTCGGGGGAGTGGAAGTAAGGGGTAGGCTGGATAGCTCTCCACTGTGCGGTGGCCCACAAGGACCACATGGAGCGTGTCTGTTTCTGTGGGTGAGACCAGGTTGGGCAGTCTCCGGCATCAGCATTTAATTATGCCAAGACTTGCTGTGTCAGGCCCCAGATCAGGGGAGACTATGTGTAGGATATTTGGACGACCTCACACATGGCCCAAGCACTTTCTAACCTGTGTCTGGTAACACCCCTTCACCTGCTTAATTCCAGCATCCCTCAGATCTCACCTCAAACATTACTTTCTTGGGGAGGCCTTCCTTCACATTCCAATCGAGTCAAACACTCCAGTTCAAATGTTCTCAAAATGTTCCATTTCCCCTTCAGAGATCACAGTTTTAATTCATTTTAAGAATTGTTTTGAGTCACTATCTGTCAAATGAATGTGAGACTTTGACAGAGGGGACTGCTTCTGTATCTCCAGCAACCAGCACAGCACCTGGCCCCTTTGCAAAGGGCTCAATAAATTGCTGAATGAGTGAATCCCATCTTCAAGATAAATAGCTCTTTTCTGATTGTTCCTTATTTATTTGTTATCCTAAATTTTCCTACCATTCATTAAAGTGAAAGTAATTCATTTTAATGTGGTCAGTATAGCCACATTTTATTTCAAAAAAAGAAATACTTTATTTCTTAAGATAACTTGAGAACAGGTTATTCATACATTAGAAATAGGGCTAGGGGCCATGGGTCATGCCTGTGATCCCAGCACTTTGGGAGGCTGAGGTGGGAGGATTGCTTGAGGCCAGGAGTTTGAGACCAGCCTGGGCACAAAGTGAGACCGATGTCTCTTTAAAAAAAAAAAAATTAGCTGGGTGTAGTGGTGCTTGCCTGCAGTGGCACACCTTTAAACCCTGCCCTGTCTGGCTAAAGTATTTCATGAAGCCCGGAGTCCAGATACTTGGAGGGCTGAGGTAAGAAGATCACTTGAGCCCAGGAGTTCGAGGCTCCAGTGATTGATGCTTGTGCCACTGTACTCCAGTCTAGGTGACAGAGTGAAACCTTGTCTCAGAAAAAAAAAAAAGAAAGAAAGAAAGGAAAGAAAGAAAAAGAAATAGCTGCAGATTATTGATCTCCACCTTTTTGCAATAATATTTTATTTTAGCATTCTTCTCCTTGCTGCCCATGTACCCATTGGCTTTTCAGCTTTGTTTTTGAGAGAAATACGAACACACACCCCACCACTTGAGTGGTAGTATACTCACTATACAGGCCAAAGGTAATGTTTAGCTTCATAAAATTCCATCTGAACATCAACAATCATTGTCCGAAACTCACAGTCAAGAACTGTGATCGTCTGCCTTCCACTGGTTGGGCTGATTCTAACAAGACCTTTGCTACTTAAAATAGGATCCCAGCATCAGGAACACATTGGCATCACCTTGGAGGTTATTTTAAATGCAGAATCTCAGGCCCCACCCCAGACCAAAAAATTAGAATATGTGCTTTAATAAGATACCCCAGTGATACATATGCACGGAAAAGTTTCAGAAAGCTGGATTATCAAGCTGTTCAAAGTCCGTGGTCCTTCTGAGTAAAGGAGAACCTGGAAAAACTTTTCTCTTACAACTCTTCATGAAATCTTGACTAAATGTGAGAAGGCTAAGGGAAGGTTTAGTTAGTAATTTTCCAAGTAATCATGTTTGACAAGGCTGTATACTGCTTACAAAATTCGCATTGGTCTTACTCCCCTGATGAATGCCACATACTCACTTCTCTTTGTCTGTTTCATGTTTGCATAGGTCCAGCAAAGGGATGTTTGGTTCGTCAGTATCACTGAGCTGTGGCCATGTTTAGAGGCTCATTCCTAGAAAAATCAATTAACTTTCAATTAAAAATTAGCTTTCATTGCAAACAAAACAAAACCACCTTTAAACCTTGACCTGTCTGGCTAAAGCATTTCATGAAGCCGTGGAAAACCACAGGGCAAAGGATAAAGGGTGTGTAAGTATTGAATATACTACAGATGTACATTAGTGAAGACAAAGGGTAACTAATCTCTTTCATGGGCGATCAACTCACAAGAGCTCCTCATATGATGACAGCTGGTGGCTGGAATCAGCTCACTTTTGAAGCTCTGATCCCTCCCTAAGCAAGCAATCATGTGGGGGTGTGTGTGTGTGTGTGTGTGTGTGTGTGTGTGTGTGTGTTGTTGTTGATGGTTTCCCTTTCCAGAAAAAAAAAAAAAAAAAAGATAACTAAGTTGGGTTTCTTACCATTATCATTTTTATATGAGTTTAGATATAAAAAGCCAGGTTTCTGAAGATTTGACTACCATTAAACAAGATGAAAAAGACTTGATAGACCAAATAAAGGTAAAGTTGTAGGCAAAACGTAAAGGCTGCCAAATTTCCCTCCCAACCCTGGGTGTCACAAACTCTAAACCAAATACTGAAATGTTACAGCTGGCAGAGGCCGTAAAAATCTAGTCTAATGCCTTATTTGTTCAGATGACACTAAGACATTAAAGTGACTGGCTATCAAACCAAACACTAGCATCTGGGTCTTTTGATTTGGAATCAAGTGTTATGATTGTTTGAACCACTCTACACACAAAACATAATACCTCTCCTTATGGAAAAACAGCAACAAAATAACAAAACAAAAACACATAAGGGCAGGGACTGTGTCTGTTTATTGCTTGATCTGGGATAGCAGAAAATCATGTATTTACTAGCACTTAATAAATACTTGTTGAATGAACTTGCAATAGATGAAGATTTGTTAAATATCTACTGAGGGTAATATCTACTATAGATATTAGTTATAGTATAGCTATATATTACAATATAATTATATATTTCTATAATTAGGCAGTATATGGGGGCATGTTTACATTATTACTTTCATTTTACACTACTTTATTATCACTACCATTGTTGTTATTATCAGAGTTGTATACAGCTAACACATAGGCGAAGATAGAGGTCATTTTCCCTCATTTGGGAGAGAAGAAAAGGAAGATTGGTAGACATTGGGTGTATATCATTCCCTGGAACCTGCAGATTTCTGGCTCTGCCTTTTACTGCCATTTAAAACCAACCCTGGCACATGGTAAATGCTAGATAAATGGCAGCTGTGAGTATCACCACTGCTATTGTCACCATGTTACCATCATGGCTTTGTGCCAAGCCTACTGCTCCATCTTTTCTTTTTAATTTTTTGGGGGAGTTGAGGGGGTCGAGGTCTTGCTTTGTTGCCCAGACTGTTGTCTCAAATTCCTGGGCTCAAGCGATCCTGCCTCCACCTCCCAAAGTGCTGGGATTACAGGCTTGAGCCACCACGCCCGGCCACCTGCTCCATCTTGATTTTCCCCTGACCCACATGGATCCTATGAATCCACCATAACAACTACTTCTCCCTAGGTGGACTGACCTCTCTGAACTTTGGCACTCATGTTTTATATAGATTACAAAGCACCTGCTTAGTCTCCTCCTGTCTAGTCAAATTACCAAGTTTCAGGTTTTGCATTTCTTTTTTAAATCAAGTTTGTGAGACCCAGTACAAATAAATTAACATGTGCATCAGGCACTAGGGCAACAGACAGACACAGGGGAGAGAATGAATATATCTCAGTGTAGGACCCCAAAGTGGGCTGAACTGATCTTGACCCCAGCAGGGACCAGGAACCTTCTAAGCTAACTTTTCATGAGGAATATTCCTCAGTTACTTCCTTTGTATCCACGTAACACTTATGTTGGTGGCATTTGGACCAAGTCAGAGGATTCCTACAAATTGAGAGGGCTTTTTTTCCTTTTCTTTGGTTGGTAAGAGAAAAATATATATTTTAATGATTGAATCAAGGCAAGTTTTAGGGGTACAGGTCATGTTTGGCCATGTGCTTGACTGTTTTAGAAGTCACAAGACAGGGTCACAATGAATATATCAATCAGGATGTCTATGGACCCAGGCCTCACATCATATGTTGTAGAAGATAACTCTCACCTTCCACAACAATTACACAGACTGATAAAAGAACAGACTAATAATAGTGATAACAGCAGCCATGTAAGCTCTGGTTTCCAGCAAATTCAGGACATTTGGAAGCTCCTGAGGAGGCAGTGTGGGGCTGGGGACCAGATCCCAGATCTAGTTTGAGTTCCTGCTGACCTAGTCTCTGCAATTCCCTGAAAGCCATTCCAGGTTTTCCCATTGGGCCATAAACCTGTCAGGGTTTTTGTTTGGAGAAGTAGTGAAGCCCAGGCCAGGTTTTTCTCTCAACCCCATCGGCTGGGGCTGTGAGTCCCACTGCAGCCTTAGCCCCGCCCTTTGCTTCTGCTGCACTGGGTTGATTGACTCAGCCAACCTCCCAGGTTGCGGGCCCTGAGCAGCCTCAATACTTGGTTTCTCTTTCTGCAGCGGGTCTCTCTCTTTCAAATGGCCCGCTTTCTTTGGGGGCTTCAACGCCGGCAGAGTCCCTGATACTCCTTCACCCCCAATCCCAGATCTTAAAGCAGACTGCCAACAGCTTGGTTCCTTGGGCTTGCAGGCACCGGGATCCTGGTCACCCAGTCTCCAGCCCAACTTGTCAGCTGACAGGACCCCTAGGAAGAAATGTACCCCACCACTTCCAAAAATTAGAGACCACGTGGATGTGTGCCTTTGTGATTAGAACTGTCATGTAAAGGGCCAAGGACCCCACTAGGACCACACACCAGGACAAATAGAGTTCATGGGGGAAAGCCAGGACAGCACAGGCAGGACCTCCTCCCCACCCCGCCTTGTCACACAGAGAAGTGCGCACTCTGCGCTTACTCAGCTCTGTGGAAACAGCTCCTTGAAAATCAACAAAAGGCAGAAGAAATGAATCTTCAGGGCAACGTGCATTTATCCCTCCTTAATCAAAGTTTGCCTTTCTCACCTCCAGGGCTTTATGAGCACAAACAACATTGCATTAATCTTTGTAACCCCTCCAATACTGAGAAAGTAAAAATCGGCGCTGCCATTCATCAGGCTACGATAACAGACACAGATAAAGCCCGCAGCAAAGTTAATAGCAAACGATCTTTCTCCCAAGGACACACTGCTGCTGAAAGGTATGACCCCCTTCTTAGAGTGACAACAGCTTTCTTGCTCAGTGAGTAACCCTGTCCTTTCACATGGGAAACTTCCAAAACTTTGCTCTTTGAAATTACATCAGTAACAATGAAACATCCCACTCTTACCTGGGCGAACTAAGACAGAGAAGCGACCTTGATTTACGGCCCCGGTGCAGAGGTTCAGATAAAGGTTTCTGGACACAATATTGGCATTTATTTTAATAGTGTCCAAGGAAATATGATGCTGTGTCCATTTCAGTCCAGACCTGATGATAACCCTTTTATACTCACACTGCATTGCTTAACACGCATTAAAACACTCCTTCATTTAATTTTACATAGACTCCATCTTTCCCAGAACTTTTATAGTAACTATTTCTTCCTTCATTTGTTGAGAAGCTCCATGGTTCTTCCACTGTGTGATTTTTATTGCAATCAGCCAAAAACAAACAAACAAACCCTGACTTTGTCAGACTACAGATTTGTCCCTAGTGGTATTAGGCTAAGTGGGCCACGACAGTGCCAAGCACAGGGACTTGCATTTAATACCGATATACCTACTTCTGATGGATTCACTGAACAGTCCACGTGGACTGTGAAATAGATGAAGATATGGTGTAATTATATAGAGATTGACAGTGTTCATTATACTAAGTGAGTATATTTCCTTTTTAAAGCATTATCTAAGTGTTTTCCTGAGAAAGTGGGGTATATGAGAAAACGACAAATTTCTTTGTTTATAAAGTATACGATTCAGTAGTTTTTAGTGTAGCTACAGAATTGTGCAATCATAACCAGAAACTCAAAGACTTTTTTTTTTTTTTTTTGAGACACAGTTTCGCTCTTGTTGCCCAGGATGGAGTGCAATGGCGCAACCGCGGTTCACTACAACCTCCGCCTCCCAGGTTCAAGAGGTTCTCCTTCCTCAGCCTCCTGAGTAGCTGGGATTACAGGTGCCTGCCACCACATCCGGCTACTTTTTTGTATTTTTAGTAGAGATGGAGTTTCACCATGTTGGCTTGGCTGGTCTCGAACTCCTGACCTCAGGTGATCCACCCGCCTCGGCCTCCCAAAGTGCTGGGATAGCAGGTGTGAGCCACCCCGCCAGGTCTGGGCCATTTTTATCACACCAAAAAGAAACCCCATACCTATTAGCAATCACCCCTGATTCCTTCCTCCCCATATCCCCTGGCAACCACAAATCTACTTTCTGTCTCCATGGATTTACCCTTTCCAGACATGTCATTTAAATGGAAGCACACAATATATGGCCTTTTGTGACTGACATCTTTCACTTAGCGTAATGTTTTCAAAGTTCATCCATCAAAACAAAACAAAACAAAACCAGTTCATCCACATTATAGCACATATCAGTTCTTCATTTCTTTTCTTTTCTTTTTGGCCAATAATATCCCATTGTGTGGCTATACTGCATTTTCTTTTATCTGTTTATCAGTTGATGTTCTTTTGAGTTGCTTCCACTTTTTGGTTATTATGAATAATGCTGCTATGAACATTTGTGTTCAAGTTTTTGTATGAACATATGTTTTCCATTCTCCTGGGCATATATTTAGAAGTAGAATTGCTAGATCATACACTAACTCTGTATTTAATTTTTGAGGAACTTCCAAACTGTTTCCCAAAGTGACTAACAATTTTATATTCCTACCAGCAGTATATGGGCGTTCCAATTTCTTCACATCCTCCTCAACTCTTATTATCTTTTTTACTATAGCCATCCTAGTGTGTGAAATTATGTCTTGTCATG